AGTATTCAAAAATTTGATTCGACTGATTCGGCGAATTCGTGAAAAAAATTTGATTCAAGTCGAATATATTCGCTGCGATTTTAACTTATAAAAGGGTGTTTCTAGGCTTCAGAGAGCCTTTATATTAGTGCAGAACACTGTACCTTTAATTTAAATGTCCTTGGAGTCTGCTGGTGAAGAGAAATAATAATGTCAGTCAGTATGACATGCAGATGAGTGCCGTCGATCTTAGAATCACCGCACACTTCACTCATTTGGCCAGTCACGGGGCCAAAACCAGAGCGTGGAGCCACAGTGTGGCGGTGGAGGCAGCAGCAATGGGAGGCCATACAGCACCCTATGACAAAAATGGAACCCACCAGCAGTGTGAGGAGACCTAAAAGTGGCACATGGCAGAGTGTGGCGATGGAGACAGCAGCAATGGGAGGCCGTACAGGGACCCACGCTGCTGGTGGAGCTGCCACTGCTCCTACCACCCCACCCCTCCCCTGCTGCCATGGCAGCGGAACGCGAGCGCACAGGGCCCACAGTGTCTGAGGATGGACGTTGGCGCAGAAAGGCAGAGACCAACTGACTACATAGGTGGTTTTTATAGTACGTAATTTTGGCCTCCCTCTCAGCAGGTGTGAAAAAGGCCACCATTTTGGAACGGTAGCGAGGGTCCAACAAGGTGGACAGCCAAAAGTCATCCCTCTGTCTGATGGTTATTATTCGGCTGTCGCTACGCAAGGCCGAGCATGCTATGGGCCATTTGTGCCAAGGAATGCGAGGGACTCCCTGCCTCCATCTCCACAGCATACTGCCATGGTGCGTCTGGGTCCTCTGTCTCCTCCTCCTCACCAGATGCTCCTGCTCCTCCACTCCTGTCCGCTGAGTGGAAAAACCACCCATTTCACTCAATAATTCCTGAGCACCAATGTCCTCCTCTACCTCCTCCTCCTCTTCTTCCTGTCCTGCCCCCACAGGGGTCATGTGGTGTTGAGATCTGTGCGCCACGTCTACCGCACCCTGACCAGCCATTGTTAACAGCATTTGTTCCAGGACGTGCAACAGAGGAATGACGTCGTTCATCCCATAGTCCTGCCGACTCACGAATAGCGTGGCCTCCTCAAAGGGCCTGAGCAAGCGGCAGGTGTCACGCATGAGCTGCCAATGGCTGACATCTAAGTTACACAGGGGAGTACCTTTATCCGCTTGTAACATCAGGAAATCGGTGATGGCCTTTCGCTGTTCGTAAAGGCGGTCTAACATATGTAGGGTTGAATTCCACCTTGTTGCAACGTCACAGCATGAGGAGTCGGTACAGGGGGCCCATGGCAGATTAGGGCCTGGCCGCAGCAATGTGAGGCCCGTAATCTGCCAGCACCCTATGACAAAATGGAACCCAGCAGCAGTGTGAGGACACCTGAAAGTGGCACATGGCAGTGTGGCGATGGAGACAGCAGCAATGGGAGGCCGTACAGGGACCCATGAGACACTGTGGACCTGGCAGCAGCGTGAGGAGGCGGTACAGGGGCCCATGGCAGATTAGGGGCCTGGCAGCAGCTATGGGAGGCCCGTAATCTGCCAGCATCCTATGACAAAATGGAACCCACCAGCAGTGTGAGGAGGACCTGAAAGTGGCACATGGCAGAGTGTGGCGATGGAGACAGCAGCAATGGGAGGCGGTACAGGGACCCATGACACACTGTGGACCTGGCAGCAGCGTGAGGAGGCGGTACAGGGGGCCCATGGCAGATTAGGGGCCTGGCAGCAGCTATGGAGGCCCGTAATCTGCCAGCATCCTATGACAAAATGGAACCCAGCAGCAGTGTGAGGAGACCTGAAAGTGGCACATGGCATGACACATGTGGCTGGAGGCAGTCAGCAGGAATGGGTGGTGTAAGGGACCCATGAGCACTGTGGAGGCCCGTAATCTGCAGCAGCATCTGAGGAGGCGGACAAAATGCAGATCCAGGGGCCTGGCAGCAGCAATGTGAGGAGTGGGACCTGAAATCTGCCAGCACAGGCACATGGATGGACAGCAGCAATGCGCAGGCGGTACAGCGACCCATGACACACTGTGGACCTGGCAGCAGCGTGAGGAGGCGGTACAGGGGCCCATGGCACATTAGGGGCCTGGCCGCAGCAATGGGGTCAAGTTTAATCTGCCAGCATCCTATGACAAAATGGAATCCAGCAGGGTGTGAGAGACCTGAAAGTGGCACATGGCATGACACACTGTGGACCTGGCAGCAGCATGAGGAGGCGGTACAGGGGCCCATGGCACATTAGGCAGCCTGGCAGCAGCCAATGGAGGCCCGTAATCTGCCAGCATCCTATGACAAAATGGACCCCCCTGCTGCCAGTGTGAGGACACCTGAAAGTGGCACAGGGCCCACAGTGTCTGAGGATGGACAGTTGGCGCACAAAGGCCGCCACAGACCAACTGACTACATAGGTGGTTTTATAGTACGTAATTTTGGCCTCCCTCTGAGGAGGTGTGAAAGGGGCCCATTTTGGAACGGTAGCGAGTGGCCAACAAGGTGGACCCAAAAGTCATCCCTATGTCTGATGGTTATTCCATTAGGCTGTCGAGGACACCGAGCATGCTATGGGCACATGGCCAACAATGTGGACCTGGGCTGCAGCATGAGGAGGCGGTACAGGGGCCCATGGCAGATCTGGGTCCCTGTCTCCCCTCCCGCAGCAATGGAGACTGCCCCTAATCTGCCAGCATCCTATGACAAAATGGAAACCCAGGAGTGTGAGGAGACCAAAAGTGGCACATGGCATGGCACCACTGTGGACCTGGCAGCAGCATGAGGAGGCGGTACAGGGGCCCATGGCACATTAGGGGCCTGGCCGCAGCAATGTGCGCCACGTAATCTGCCAGCATCCTATGACAAAATGGAATCCAGCAGGAGTGTGAGGACGTGAAAGAGGCACATGCAGAGTGTGGCATGGAGACAGCAGCAATGGAGGCACGTACAGGGACCCACTGGACCTGGCAGCAGCTAGGGGCAGGGGCCCAAAGGGCTGAGCAAGCGGCAGGTGGCACACATGAGCTGCAATGGCTGACAGAAGTATGACACATGGAACCCAGCAGGAGTGTGAGGACACCTGAAAATCGGCACATGGCCTTTGTGGCTGTTCGTAACAGCAGCAATGGGAGGCGGGTAGGGTTGAATTCCACACTGTGGACCTGCAGCAGCAGCATGAGGAGTCGGTACAGGGGCCCATGGCAGATTAGGGGCCTGGCCGCAGCAATGTGAGGCCCGTAATCTGCCAGCATCCTATGACAAAATGGAACCCAGCAGCAGTGTGAGGACACCTGAAAGTGGCACATGTGGCACATGGCATGAGGCGTACAGGGACCCATGACACACTGTGGACCTGGCAGCAGCATGAGGAGGCGGTACAGGGGCCCATGGCAGATTAGGGGCCTGGCCGCAGCAATGTGAGGCCCGTAATCTGCCAGCATCCTATGACAAAATGGAATCCAGCAGGAGTGTGAGGAGACCTGAAAGTGGCACATGGCAGAGTGTGGCGATGGAGACAGCAGCAATGGGAGGCGGGTACAGGGACCCATGACACACTGTGGACCTGGCAGCAGCGTGAGGAGGCGGTACAGGGGCCCATGGCACATTAGGGGCCTGGCCGCAGCAATGGGAGGCCCGTAATCTGCCAGCATCCTATGACAAAATGGAATCCAGCAGGAGTGTGAGGACACCTGAAAGTGGCACATGGCATGGCATGACACACAATGGGAGGCCGGTACAGGGTGACACTGTGGACCTGGCAGCAGCATGAGGAGGCGGTACAGGGGCCCATGGCACATTAGGGGCCTGGCCGCAGCAATGGGAGACGCCCGTAATCTGCCAGCATCCTATGACAAAATGGAATCCAGCAGGAGTGTGAGGACACCTGAAAGTGGCACATGGCATGACACACTGTGGACCCATGACACACTGTGGCAGCAGCAGCGTGAGGCGGTACAGGGGCCCATGGCACATTAGGGGCCTGGCCGCAGCAATGGGAGGCCCGTAATCTGCCAGCATCCTATGACAAAATGGAACCCAGCAGGAGTGTGAGGAGACCTGAAAGTGGCACATGGCAGAGTGTGGCGATGGAGACAGCAGCAATGGGAGGCCGTACAGGGACCCATGACACACTGTGGACCTGGCAGCAGCGTGAGGAGGCGGTACAGGGGCCCATGGCACATTAGGGGCCTGGCCGCAGCAATGGGAGGCCCGTAATCTGCCAGCATCCTATGACAAAATGGAATCCAGCAGGAGTGTGAGGACACCTGAAAGTGGCACATGGCATGACACACTGTGGACCTGGAGCAGCAGCATGAGGAGGCGGTACAGGGGCCCATGGCACATTAGGGGCCTGGCCGCAGCAATGGGAGACGCCCGTAATCTGCCAGCATCCTATGACAAAATGGAATCCAGCAGGAGTGTGAGGACACCTGAAAGTGGCACATGGCATGACACACTGTGGACCTGGCAGCAGCATGAGGAGGCGGTACAGGGGCCCATGGCACATTAGGGGCCTGGCCGCAGCAATGGGAGACGCCCGTAATCTGCCAGCATCCTATGAATGGAATCCAGCAGGAGTGTGTGTGAGGAGACCTGAAAGTGGCACATGGCAGAGTGTGGCATTGGAGACAGCAGCAATGGGAGGCCGTACAGGGACCCATGACACACTGTGGACCTTGCAGCAGCGTGAGGAGGCGGTACAGGGGCCCATGGCAGATTAGGGGCCTGGCAGCAGCTATGGGAGGCCTGTAATCTGCCAGCATCCTATGACAAAATGGAACCCAGCAGGAGTGTGAGGAGACCTGAAAGTGGCACATGGCAGAGTGTGGCGATGGAGACAGCAGCAATGGGAGGCGGTACAGGGACCCATGACACACTGTGGGACCTGGCAGCAGCATGAGGAGGCGGTACAGGGGCCCATAGCAGATTAGGGGCCTGGCAGCAGCAATGTGAGGCCTGTAATCTGCCAGCATCCTATGACAAAATGGAACCCAGCAGGAGTGTGAGGAGACCTGAAAGTGGCACATGGCAGAGTGTGGCGTGGAGACAGCAGCAATGGGAGGCCGTACAGGGACCCATGACACACTGTGGACCTTGCAGCAGTGTGAGGAGGCGGTACAGGGGCCCATGGCAGATTAGGGGCCTGGCAGCAGCTATGGGAGGCCTGTAATCTGCCAGCATCCTATGACAAAATGGAACCCAGCAGGAGTGTGAGGAGACCTGAAAGTGGCAAGATTAGGGGCCTGGCAGCAGCTATGGGAGGCCTGTAATCTGCCAGCATCCTATGACAAAATGGAACCCAGCAGGAGTGTGAGGAGACTGAAAGTGGCACATGGCAGAGTGTGGCATTGGAGACAGCAGCAATGGGAGGCCGTACAGGGACCCATGACACACTGTGGACCTTGCAGCAGCGTGAGGAGGCGGTACAGGGCCCATGGCAGATTAGGGGCCTGGCAGCAATGGTGAGGGCCGTAATCTGCCAGCACCCTATGACAAAATGGAACCCAGCAGCAGTGTGAGGAGACCTGAAAGTGGCACATGGCAGAGTGTGGCGTTGGAGACAGCAGCAATGGGAGGCGGGGTACAGGGACCCATGAGACACTGTGGACCTGGCAGCAGCGTGAGGAGGCGGTACGGGGGCCCATGGCAGATTAGGGGCCTGGCGCAGCTATGGGAGGCCTGTAATCTGCCAGCACCCTATGACAAAATGGAAACACAGCAGCAGTGTGAGGAGACCTGAAAGTGGCACATGGCAGAGTGTGGCGTTGGAGACAGCAGCAATGGGAGGCTGGGTACAGGGACCCATGACACACTGTGGACCTGGCAGCAGCGTGAGGAGGCGGTACAGGGGCCCATGGCAGATTAGGGGCCTGGCAGCAGCTATGGGAGGCCGTAATCTGCCAGCAACCCTATGACAAAATGGAACAACAGCAGCAGTGTGAGGAGACCTGAAAGTGGCATATGTTTGGGGCATGATTCATGGCGGATTTAGTCAGTTGTGTCAGGAACTGGTGGTTTGAAATCCAGACTAATCCACGCCTGATTTCATTTTCACAAACGTGAGTCTCTCCACACTTTGGGTGGACAGTCGTGTCCTACCGCGGAGTTACAATACCGCCTGCCGCACTAAACACGCGCTCCGATGCCACGTTACTGGCCGGGCATGACAAGCCTTTCAAGGGCAAATTCAGCTAGTTGGGGCCAAAGGTCAAGTTTTGTTGCCAGTAGTCAAGGGGGGATTGACTACCTCGGTTGGCAGGGTGCTGTCCAAGTAGGCCCGAGCCTGTTGTTTGAGGTCCTGCTCCAGGTCACCTGATGCTGCTGCTGCTGCGGCTGGTTAGTAGTTTCCTCACTGCGCTGGTGAAGAAAGCTACTCATCATCGACTGCAGACTGAGGCAGCCGCTGCTGGTGGAGCTGCCACTGCTCTACCACCCCACCCTCCCCTGCTGCCATGGCAGCGGAACGCGGAGCGCACAGGGCCCACAGTGTCTGAGGATGGACGTTGGCGCAGAAAGCAGAGACCAACTGACTACATAGGTGGTTTTTATAGTACTTTATTTTGGCCTCCCTCTCAGCAGGATGTGTGAAAAAAGGCCACCATTTTTTGAACGGTAGCGAGGGTCAACAAGGTGGACAGCCAAAAAGTCATCCCTCTGTTGATGGTTATTATTGGCTGTTGCTACGCAAGCAAACCGAGCATGCTATGGGCATTGTGCCAAGGAATGTGATGGGACTCCCTGCCTCATTCCACAGCACTACTGCCACGGTGCAATTGGGTCTCTGTTTTTCCTCCTCTCCTCTTCCAGATGCTTGCTCCTCCCTCCCGTCCCCTGGTGGAAAACCACCCCTTTCACTCAATAATTCCTGAGCACCCAATGTCCCCCTCTACCCCCTCCTCTTCTTCCTGTCCCGCCCCCACGGGGGTATGGGGGCGTTGGATCTTTTGCGCCAGTCTACCCCCACCCTGAACCGCCCTTGTTAAAAGCATTTAATGAGGCTGAGGACACGGCGGGAAAAAGAGGTGGGAGAGGCGGACTTTTGCCCGGACCAAAGGGGCGTGCAAACGTGGAGGCAAAAACGGCGTTTACCCGTCCAAATTGCTGGTGCGGCGGGGCCCGGGGGCCCCGTTTTTACCCCGTGGGGCCCTAAATGACTTTTTACTGTCCCCGACCTTTGTTAAGCTCCCCCAGTCCCGGGGGGCCGGTTTCCCTTTTGGGAGAGGGCCGACATGCTAAAGGGTGGCCCAAATCTCTTCTACATTTTTTGGTTGGGAAAGCAGGGCTGCACTTTCCTTTTTGGCGAAGGGAAAAGCCGGCTTGGCACTCTTTCCCCCGCGGTCGGCAAAGCCATATTTCTCGGAAAGGTGGGGTCCACCCCTTAAGGGAAAAGGGGGGGACTGCCGCACCCGCAAAATTGGAAGGAGGACGTTCAGGTTCTGCACCGGGCGGGGTGCCGGGGCTCGCAAAAAGTTGTTCTTGGAAAAAGGATTTCCAAAAAAAGAATGCTGACCCGGAAAAACCGTTAAGAGGGGTAGCAGGAGAAGGGCCCTCTGAACGAGCGGGAAGATGCCCCAAAGAGCGGGCAAATCCCCCAGCAGAGGTGGGTTGGGGGGCCCTTTATGGTGTTTGAGGGGAATTTACATTGACGTGGGGTGGGGAGCAAGTTTAAGGTGCGGGTGATGGGAAAGGGGGGGTGGGGAGGGAGAAAACCGGGGTTTCTTTATCCGGTTTTCCCCGGCCAACCCAAAAGGGGACGGGTTTCCCTATTTCTGAAGCAACGCTGTAGTCCCAAAAATTTGGGCCCCCCGGCCACGCTTTACTTTTTTGGCCCCCAAATTTTTTTTGTCGACATACGGCTACGTTTACTTCCTC